AGCAGGAGGGCCAGGACTGCGTGCTGCTGTGTCCCAGGGGCTCAGGGCAGCCGCGCAGGGCTCGGGAGCAGCTCCGGGAGGAGCAGGGAGAAGGGCGAGGAGCCACCGCTGCAGCAGCACCTCTGCAGCAGCCTCGGGCAGGCTGCCCCAGCCTGGGGGACACCAGTGACAGAGGCAGCTGGGGAGCAAGGAGCAGCCTGCCCCAGCCTTGGGGACACCAGTGACAGAGGCAGCTGGGGAGCAAGGAGCAGCCCCTGCCCGAGGGGGATCCTTGGCTCGGTGTGGCAGCCTGCCTGCCCTGCAGCTGAGATAAGGGTGGTTCTCTCATTTATCTCCTGGGGGCTGAAGCTCTGCCCTTGGCAATGGCCCTTCCTGGCCCCAGCTGATTCCCTGTTGTGCAGATGAAGACTGCAACCTGCAGGCCACCCTGTTCTGGGGGAATTACCCCCAAAGTGACACCCCAGGGATGGGGGAAGATCCCCCTGGTGTCTGGTGCCACATCTGGGCAGGAGCAGGGCTGCTGGCCACAGGATCACAGGAGGGCTCAGGAGGGCATCCCAGCTCTGGGCAGCACAGCAGAGTGGCCACCTTGCTCTGGAAGGACTTGCAAGGGAGTGTGGTAGGGCTTTTAACCTGGTGTTTCAAAGTGAACCTGTTATCTTAACTCCTTATACCACAGAAAACATAGTGAGGAAGAGAAGGGGGATGCTTGCTGATGTTACCAGCTCCCTGTGGTGCCAGTGACTGGTATTTGGCACTGGAGAAGCAAAGTTTGAGGAGCGCCTGGATGCAGAAAAGCTTCAGAGTTCTGCTCCTGATGCTTGCTGAGTGCAGAGCCCCCTCAATGGCCTCAGAGCTGCTTCTGCACAGGCAGGACTGGGGAGCTTGGAGAAGGGTCCATCAGGAAAAGCATTTATTTCTTTCCTGTCATTTCAAGGAGAGGCAAGGGCTTGCAGTGGCAGGAGAGGAGGAGTGCACAGGTGAGCAGTGGCAGTTTTCTGCTGGCCTGGCACCACCCCTGGGTGCAGTGCTCTGCTCAGATCCCCTCCCTAAGCCCTCTGTGTGTGAGGCACTGAACCTGACCCCTTTTCTTGGTGGAAGCTCTGTTGGTTCTGCAGATGTGAGCGTGGAACAAAATAAAAATACCTGCAGTCTGCTGGGCATGGGGGAGGGAAAGGAGCTGACAGCAAAATCCCAGCTCTCTTAAACTGACCCACCAGAGACCCTTTGCTTCCAGCTCCCAGTCTGAGCTGCCCCCGGTGTCACTGAAGGACACTGTCACCCTGTCCCCCGGGTGCCTGCAGGGTGGGGGATGTCTCTCCAGCAGCTTGGATTTGGCCAGGAGATGTCACTCCCAGGACAAGGTGTCCCCTCTGCCTGGCTCCCAGCAGAGGGAAGCAGCAGCTCACATCTCCATCCCTGAGCTGCCCTGTGCTCCTCCAGCCCTGGTGTCACTGAGACAACCAAACAAACCCCACAACACCTGCCCAGGTAAAGGCTGATTTCTCCTGCTGCTGGACAGTAAAACTTTTAAATAGCAGGGAATTGCTACCTGTAATTGCACCAGCTAATCCTACCTGCAAGCTCTGTCCTCCACCTCAGGTGCTATTCTTAGTTCAGCCCCTGCTGGATTCCTGACAGAGCAAACGCTGAGGCTTGGTCTGTGCCTTTGGAGAGATGAGTGGGATGAGAGAATTGGGAAGGACCTTCCCTTTTATTCTCCGTTGTGTAGGAGGATAATGGAGACCCTGCTTTTCTGAGGGAAATGAGTCCAGTGCTGGTGGAAATGCTCAGGGAGTGCAGATGGATGAACTTGGTGAACTGTGGCTGGCCCTAACTCAGCCCGAGGGAGCAAACGGAATGACTTCAGCTTCTTGTGACTCTTTGCTCTTGTGACCTTAGCCCAAATGTCTCTCTTTTCTCTTTTTGCCTCTTTTTGATCTGAAACTGGGTCTCCAGCTCGCTGCTCTCCATTTTTTCCATCAGCTAATTGGCAGAATCCCTGTGCCATGCAGGCCCTGCTCCTGTGGGTGTGTGACAGTGTGTCCCTGGAGAGGAGGGACACAGCCCAGGAGGAGACCAGCAGCTCTTCAAGGGGTGTCTGCTTGCTGCAGGACTAATGTGGCTGCCATGCCCTCAGCAGCATTTCCCCCCTGAGACTACAGGAACAGGTTTTTCCATTGCAAAAAAAAAAAAAAAAAAAAAAAAAAAAAAAAGCAGAAAATATGTTTACGTCCCTCTACTTTGGGCTTTTGCAGCTGAGTGGAACTCAGTGTCTCCCAGTCCCTCAGTGCTCCAAGTCCTTCCTAACAGGGCAGAAGCAAGACATGTCAAGTGTGGAGATGTACCTGCACCTGCCAGCTGAGCCTTCCCAAGGAGCACAACCCCTCCTCTTGCAACTGGAACATGTCTGAGCAGGAGCAGGGCAGCACAGGGAGGGAGGAGTGTGAGCAGCCTGGTGTTTCACTGGGAGCTGCCTGGAACACCATCCCTCGCTCTGTGCCTGAGCTGGCTCAGGTGCTAGTGCTGACCCTTCTGTTTCCTGCTCCTGCCGAAGGGGAAATGTTCACAGGCTGTTCTGGGAAAGCTTTTGCAGTGATCCTGGGGCTCCTGATCCTGGGCATTTGCTCCATGTTCACACCTGTTGTGCCCATCTGATATTGTGCCCATCTGATGATCTGTGATTTCTCCCCAAAGCGTGTGTGCAGGGGTGCATGGCTGCACCATGGGTTCTGCACCTGGGTTTTCCAGTCAGCAGGTTCCTGCCAGCTCGTGCTCCCGGAGCAGCCTGAGGACTTCTCCTGTGCTGCTGCTGCAGTTCCAGCTGGAAATGTCCTTGGTCCCCAGCCCCTGTCCCCTCAGTGCTGTCAGCAGAGCAGCAGGAGCCAGCTGCAGGGGGAGGCAATGCCAGCTTCAGGCTCCCGTGGCGTGGATCACTCTGGAGAGTGAAGCAGGTGCCTTTGCCTCCCTGCACAGCCTGCATCTCTAACAACGGGTGCCGGGGGGAGAGGGGGAGCTTTCTGGGAGATGGGCTTCATGGACGGGCAGAGGAAACCCTCCAGAGCCTGTGGGGTGAGTTTGGGGTGTGTGCTCGAGCCCTGGCTCCTGCGCCCAGGGTGTTCTGCTGAGGGTGGATGGATGGATGGATCCCAGCTCCCAGCTGCCTTTCCCAGCTCCTGGAGCCTCTGAGAGGATTGCAAACTTGTAGGTGACATCTCTTTGCCAGGAATCCTGCATCCCTCCTCCTCGTGTGGTCTTCCTCAGTGAAACGCTGGATTCAGCCCTGGAACCGTGTGTGGAACTTCAGGGAGTCTGAGCTCCCCTGCCCCGGAGCTGGGGCAGGAATCAACCCTGAGCTGGGGCAGGAATCAGGAGCTGGGGCAGGAATCAACCCTGAGCTGGGGCAGGAATCAATCCTGTTCTGTGACAGGAATCAGGAGCTGGGGCAGGAATCAACCCTGAGCTGGGGCAGGAATCAATCCTGTTCTGTGACAGGAATCAACCCTTAGCTGGGGCAGGAATCAACCCTGACCCGTGGCAGGAATTCCGTGCTGTGAAAGGAATCAATCCTGTACTGGGGCAGGAATCAGGAGCTGGGGCAGGAATCCCGTGCTGTGGCCGGAGCTGCTCCGTGTCCATGTCCGTGTCCCTGCACTCCCCGCTGTCCCGCTATCTCCGCTGTCCCCGCTGTCCGTGTCCCTGTCCCTGCCCAGGTAAGCTCTGATCCCGGTGCCTGCCCCGAGCCCCTGCTAGTCTGTCATGTCGGGGTAAAGAAGGTTTCCTTCTCATTTCTCTTTCTCTCCCCTTCCTCTTCTGTCGCCCTTTTCCTTCAAGCCCCTCGTGCAGAATCCCACGCTGCCTTTGGGGATGCTGGTCTGGGTTTGTGGATGCCAGAAAGCGGTTGCACTCTGGATTTGGGGATCCCGGTCTGGATTTGGGGATCCCGGTCAGGTTTTGGGGATGCAGATCTGGATTTGGGGATCCCAGAAAGTGGTTGCATTCTGGATTTAGGGATCCCGGTCTGGATTTGGGGATCCCGGTCTGATTTTGGGGATGCTGGTCTGGATTTGTGGATGCAGGTCTGGTTTTGGGGATGCAAAAAAAAAAAAAAAAATGCTGGTCTGTATTTGGGGATGCTGGTCTGGATTTGGGGATCCCAGTCTAGATTTGGGGGTCCCGGTCAGGTTTTGGGGATGCAGATCTGGATTTGGGGATCCCAGAAAGTGGTTGCACTCTGGATTTGGGGATGCCGGTCGGTTTTGGGGATCCCAGGAAGCAGCACAGCCAAAGAGCAGCGCTGTGCTCGCGCTGCCCGTGCGGAGCTGTGCGGGCAGGGCTGGGGGCTGCAGAGCCGGGAGCAGGGGGGTCCCGGGGGGCTGGGTGAGACCAGAGCCCGAATCCGTGTGGATTGGGCTCTCGGTGCTGCATTGCCATGTCAGGGTTTACACGGGGAGCATAAAGCACCCAGCTGTCCCCTCCCCTGCCACACCTGCACAAGCTGTCCTCCCATCCTGTCCCCAGTGCTGCTGCCTGGCCCAGCGTGTTCCTCCAATTCCCTTTGTGCTGGAAAGTGTAAATAACACAGCTCAAGTGCTCGCACGGGGAAGGAGAGCTCTGGTTTGCCTTGATTCTGACAACACCCGTGCTTTATATCTGATATAAAATGCTTTCATTTGTAAGCAGCCCACCTCTCATCCGTGCAGTCAGTTTGATGTTTTATTAGCTGTATATGTGCCAGGGTATTTTGGAGTTTCCACAAGCAGTCAGTTTTGTAGGCAAGTCTGTTTGCTTGTATTTTGAAGGTAAACCACCAGTAATCTTCTAGGAACTGGTACAGATCATTTCTCAATGCAAATGGAGAGAAGTTAACAACACATGAGCCATTGTTTTGTTTCCAAAGAGAGACTCAGCTGAAGGGGCTTATACCAGAGTGGGGATCTAATTCAGCTTTCAGGTTTATATATTTCTTTCTGTTTTCATTTGATTACATTGTGGCAGAAGGTACCGGGCATTCAACCCATGCCCAGCCTGCCTGGAGCAGCCTTCCCCCTGAAAAAACAATCCTGCACCCAGTGGACCAGAGGAGGCTTTGGTAAGAGAAATTAGAGTTAAAAAATTGAGGAATTAAAAAAATTCCTGCAGATGTTCCCCCTGGTGCTGTAAGGCTGCTGCTGCACCTGCACAGGGGAGGCAGCTGAGGTGCAGGACTGTCCTTGTCTGCAGTGCTGCAGTCACGGCTGGGGAGCTGAGGAATGCATCTCCCAGGGCTGGTGTCCTTTCTGCTCGGGAGGTGTAGCCAGGGTCGGGCTGGGGGAAGATGGGGGAGCATCTGAGGGTAACAAAGGTAAAATTGGGTGGGTCTGGCCTTGGAAGAAAGGAGAGGGGCATGTCCAGGGGTTCTCCAGAGATCCCTCAAAGCCCTGATAAAGGAGGAGGCTGAGTCTAACAAGGTAACAAAGGTGCTGTGACAGTAAAATCTCTGCTCTGCATCAGCCTGGCAGCATCCTGTGTCCCAGCAGGAACATCTTGACTTGGATAAACTTGTTTTTCCAGGCCCACCTGGGGTGTGAGCCCCAGATTCCTGTTTGGGCTGACAAGCTGGAGCAGGGATGGGATGCTGAGAGCCCAGCCTGGCTCCTGAGCCCAGCCTGGCAGTGCTGGGTTAATGAGTCACGGCTCTCCCTGGCTGCAGCAGGCTGGACTCTGCCCAGGCTGTCCCGAGCTCCTGAATCAGCAGAATCCCTCAGCCTGCTGTCCTCAGGCTGTCCTGGCTCTGCAGAGAGGGCTGGCAGGAGCAGGGGCAGCTCTGCTTGCAGGAGCATCCCTGCAGCCAGGCTGGGCTGGGCTGGGCTGGGCTGGGCTGGGATGAGCTGGGCTGGGATAGGATGGGATGAGCTGGGATGGGATGAGCTGGGATGGGATGAGCTGAGATGAGCTGATCTGGGCTGGCAGCAGCCTCTGCTCACGACCAGAGCTGCAGGGTGGTGGTGTCTGCACCACAATTAACAGCTCTGGCAATTAACAGCTCTGCTCAGCTGCTGCTGGAGCTGAGAGCTCCTCAAAGACCTTCTCCAGGGCAATATGGGCAGAACTGGTGTCTGTGGTACCTGACAAGCGAGCACAGCAGCTTTGGCAGAACATTTGGGCTCTGCCTGAACCTTTGGTCTCAGTCTGTGTGTTTTATCTGAGTTGGCTGGGATGCAGGAGGCAGTGGTGTAAAGGAAGGGAACATGCACCACGTCCATGCACTAGGGTGTGAAATACATTCTGGGGGCACAGAGGTGCTCTCATGGTCACGGAGACAGGGCTGCTTTAAAAGCCTGGCAGTCAGAGCTCAGGATGTTGCTGCTGGACATCTCTGATCTCATCTGGGAGAGAAGAGGGTGGAAAAAAGTGAGGAAAGCTCTGTAACTCATTGTTACTGCAAGGGGAAGAGCAGAATTTCCGAGAATGTGGAAAGCAGAGTGTGGAGTTTTTGTTCTCCGTGGCTCAGGGCAAAGGTCTTGCCTCATTTCCCCAGGTGCTGCCCCATTTCCAGCCTGGGCTCAGCTGGGAGTGGTGGCAGGGCTGGAAGGAGCCACAGCCCCATCAGAGGGTGGAACTGCCCGGGAGTTCAGGTGCCTGCAGCTCCTGGAGCCTCTGCTCCTCCTGCCTGCCTCGGATCAGCCTGGAGCAGCAGCATGGCCTCACCTGGAGGAGGAGCATGGCATCACCTGGAGGAGGGGCATGGCATCACCTGGAGCAGCAGCATGGCCTCACTTGGGAGCAGGAGGTTGCCATCACCTGGGAACAGGAGCATGGCATCACCTGGAGCAGGAGCTTGGCATCACCTGGAGCAGGAGGTGGCCTCACCTGGAGCAGGAGGTGACATCACCTGGGAGCAGCAGCATGGCATCACCTGGAGCAGGAGCATGGCATCACCTGGAGCAGCAGGTGGGGTCACCTGGAGCAGCAGGTGGGGTCACCTGGGCCTCCCCATGGACCTCAGGGACTGCTGCCAGCTGGACCAGCTCCTGCCACTGCCCTGGAGGGACCTGGTCAATCTCTCTCCTCTCTGGGGAGTGTCTGCCCATCTCTTGGGGAAGTTCCTGTGGTTAATTAAAGAAAGGCCAGCAGGAGTCAAGGCGGTGTCTCGTATTTGGGGAATTAGGATGCTGTGGGGAGCCTGGAGGAGAAGAAAGCACAGGAGGAATACAATAATGACAGGGCTCAGTGAGCACTGCCAGCAGTCAAGGCCCAGAACCATTTGCTGGATGATTTGGTGAGATATTGCAGGAGAAGGTGGGATAACAGAGCTCTAAAGTCAGGGACTAAAACTCCACTTGTTGACAGCAGGAGGAAGGCACAGTGCTGGGAACGAGCTGAAACAAATGTGCTTGATTAAATGAAGCTTGTGGGATCACATATTTCTGTGCTGACAAAGTGATTGCTGCAGATCTCACCTGGCAGGACCTTTTACCTTTCTTGGAATGCAGGTTTTCTGTAACAGGAGAGTTTTTCCACCCTCCACACCCCTCAGCTTGTTTTCCTTACAGTGAGGATTTCTTCCACTGCTACATGATCCACCAAACAGCTTTTTGCTGCTGCTTTGTCACCCCCACGGTGAGACTGAGCAGGGGCTGGCATCCAGCCACCTTCCCCAGCAGCCAGGGGGGAGTTGCTGTGCTTTCTGCACCCTGGGGTCCCTCTCTCCAGGTAAAGCACCCCACAGTCAATGGGGAGTGAAACAGGCCACGTGTTCTCTTTTCCCTAAAGAGAAAATTGCCATTTTGGGGAAAAATTGAGCCCTTAAATGGAAAATTCAACAAATTGTAGACATTGGGTGGCACCTCTTTAAATTGTGCTTTTGTGAATTTATTTGTTTTCTCCTTTCCTAAAGCACTGGGGATTGTTATAGGTAGCAAGCAGCAGAGGGGGGCTAAAATGATCTGAAAAATTAAAAGCAGTGTCGTTATCTTTCTGCAAAGATGTTCCCCAAAACATCTTTTCCTGGCCATGTCGTGCTTGGTTTTTAGTGGCTCAAAGGAAAGTTTTACAGCTCCCAAAACAGCAATTCTGCATCCCGAGGAGGATGAAGGATGAAGCAGGATCTGCCTCTCCTGTACCAGATTGTTTTGCTCTCCTATGGCTGCGCTTGTCCCTGAGCTTTCATTGCCCTGGAGAGAGGCAGGTTTGTCCTGGTGGGAAATCTTGCAGGGGTGATGAGGTCAAGGTTGGAACAGGACAGCTCCTTCAGAGTGGGGCAGGACAGGAGCTGGGTGCCCCTGCCAGGTCTTGGTCCTGATGTTTGAGAATTGTTTTGGGATTGAAGTCAGCCCTTTTCTCCTCAGGGTGAGAAGGTCACGGCCAGGAAGGGATTTGTGATTAACTGGTGCAGGCTGCTGGGGATGGAGCCCTGGCAGTGCCTGGCTGTGCCCAGTGTGCCCTGGCAGTGCCTGACAGTGCCCTGGTGTGCCCTGGCAGTGCCTGGTGTGCCCTGGCTGTGTCTGGTGTGCCCTGGCAGTGTCTGGTGTGCCCTGGTGTGCCTGGCAGTGCCCTGGCAGTGCCTGGCAGTGCCTGGCAGTGCCCTGGCAGTGCCTGGCAGTGCCTGGCAGTGCCCTGGCAGTGCCTGGCAGTGCCTGGCAGTGCCCTGGCAGTGCCTGGCAGTGCCTGGCAGTGCCCTGGCAGTGCCTGGCAGTGCCTGGCAGTGCCCTGGCAGTGCCTGGTGTGCCCTGGTGTGCCCTGGTGTGCCCTGATGTGCCTGGCAGTGCCCTGGCAGTGCCTGGTGTGCCCTGGTGTGCCTGGCAGTGCCTGGTGTGCCCTGGCAGTGCCCTGGTTGTGCCCTGGCAGTGCCTGGTGGGTGTCACTGCTCTGTGCTGTCCTGGGGGGTGGCATGGGCAGCCACAGCACTTGTGTCACCTTTGTGATGCCAGGGCTGTCCCCACCAGCTGCTCTGCCATCCGTGCGAGGGGATCTGGGGCCTCGCTGTGCTGCTGGCAGGAAACCCAAGAGCTCTGTCTCTAATCTCGGTGAAAACACCTGCTCCAGATCCTGCCCGTGCTGGGGAGAGCCAGGGGGGTGGGCTCTGCTCTGACACCTGCCTGCAGCCCCAGGGGCTCCCCTTGCCCTGCAGGTCTGCTGCCTTGGCGCGGGAGGAAATGTCATTTCACGGGGAGCAGAGCAAAAAGAGAGCCCGGAGTGTCAGCCCGCTCTGCCTTGCTGTCTGAGCACAGAGCAGACTCTGGAGCTCTTGGAATTTGAGACTCGGTGCACTGGGAGGGGGATGGAGGCTCAGGTGTCTGAGATGCAGGTGTGGGGTGCAGGGGGCCCCTCCCGAGCAGCACCTTTGCTCTCTGCGTTGCACAAGAGCCCCGTGGGCAATCAGTGCTGCTCCTGAGCCTGTGGGAGAGGGAAGCAGCTCCTTGGTCCTGCAGGCTGCCTTCTCCCTGCTTTTGTGTTTCCAGAGGGCTGCAGGAATGCTGGAGAAGCCCAGACCTTGATGTGTGACAGCAAAGCCACTGGACAGGTGAGCCTGTGCCTCTCTCCTTTGTGCTCCTGGTGAACTCTCTTTCTGTCCTGCCTGTGCAGGGAGCACACCAACAGTTTGAACAGGTTTGTGTCTTAAACTGTTCAGCATTTGGGAGCACTTTAATGTTCCACTGCCTTGCCTGAATGGTGGTGTGGGAGCGCTGGGAGCTCATTGGGATAAATACAGATTGCAGACAAGCCAGCCGTGTTTGTCCTGTTAATATTGGTGATTTTTAGAGGCCCTAACCACGGTCTGGGGGCAAGGGACAGGACAACCGTTGATTTATGAGTTTCTCCTCCCTCGAAAGCTTTTTCCTCAGTACTGCTGCACGCTCCCCTGACTCTGTGTTTGTCCCCAGACCCCTGAGAGCGAGAAGAGAGGAGGATTCCAGCCCCCCGCCTGGTGCCAGCTGTGAGTGTTTCTTTGGCAGTGTCTTAGCTGGTTGTTGTGAGCAATGGTCAAGGAAGCAATCAGCAAGTATACTGCCCTAGAAGTGCTGCACGTTGTTGGGCTGCCTCACCTCGCCCCGGGGCAGGGGCACTGCCCGAGGAGCTCGAGAGGAGACCAGCACCAGGAGGAGATGAACGCTGCTGCAAGTTCTCTTCTTTCCTTGTTGTTGCTATGGGACACACGACAACACTGCTGCTCCCAGGCCAGGAAGAGAGAGATTTATTCTCTGACTCCTACCTTTATAGATTTCCAAAGGTGACATAGGATTGGAGGGTGACAGGGCCACCTCTCCAGGGACACTGGACAAGCCAACAGTCCATCAAGTTTCTCCTCCTCCATAAAGGAACGCAAAACAATAATTGTTTACAGAAAGTGTGTGAGAAAGTTTGATACAAGAATGCGAACATCAGAAGGCTTAGAAAATCTTAAGAAATCAGGGCAGCAATTTGTCCTTCCCCAGTGCCTCTGGAGGGCTCTGCTGCACCTTCCCCTGCAGCTCAGCTGTGCTTTTGCTGCCTGGCACTTTCCCTGCTGCAAATCACTTGCACAAGCAGCTGCAGCGAGGCTCCGGGGCAGCTGTGTGGGTCGTGACTCCGAGGCTCTCCTTGCCAGGTTTGTGTCTCACCTGTGCTAGAAGCACACCTGTGGGCAGCCCTTTGTGCAGGCTGTGGGATTGGCACTAAAAGCTGCACCAGAAATCCTGCCACGGTGCAGCCCAAACCTTGCTGTTATGGGTGATGAGAACACTAGTTATGGGTAATGAGAATATTAGAGAAATATCACTGCACCTGCACTGCAGGCTCTTTCATTCTGTGTCAGTGCCCTCTCCCAAAGTGCCTCCCCTCCCTCCACGCTGCAGTCTGAGCTGCTGGGTCTTATCACCAGCTCCTAAATGCAACTTCTGGTGCTTGTTGGTGGCATGCTCTGTTTCATTATAGCATGTACAGTATTAATATCTTTATTTTTCTCCACACAGCCGCAGCATGAAGGAATATCCCATATTAATCCCTTAATTTAAATTGGAAATTAATAACTATCACAACACTTGGAGCATCCTTTAATCCATTGATTGCTGCTGGTTTGGTTCCAGCAGTGTCACTAATTACATTCTGCCTGCAAAAAAAAGTTCTCATTGCTGGTGGCTTTTCTTCTGAGAGCTGCTGGCTGGAATTCCTGTGCCATCCCTGCAGCCTGAGACACTTTTTAATGCTAATGGAATTGTTTAAAATGACTGAGCATCTCCGCTGGCTGCAGGAGAAGGCCCTGGGCTTGCTGAGGGGGTGCCCAGGGTGGGGGCTGTGTGTGGGGCACAGGCTCTCTGTTTTGGGGTCCCTCTGGCACAGGACACACTCAGTCCCAACCCAGCAGCTTTTCCAGGGTTGTGTTTGCTCCTCCATCCCCACCCTGAGCCTGCCAACAGCTGAGGTTTGTTACTCCAGGAGCTGCTCTTGTGCTAAAGGTCTGCTTAAAGGGCATTTCCAGAGGGCTGGGGATAAATTAAAATTGCTTTAATTAAACTTATTTTCAGCTAGTGCATCCAGAGGACGTGGAACAAACCAAAACCAGCTTTAATCCCCTCACTTCCAGTTACTGTGATGACATGAGGTGGCACTGCCCCAAGGTTTGCTGTGTGGCACTTCTGGCTCCTGGAGGAGAGTGGGAGCTGTTGGAATTCAGGGTGCATGGAGTGGCTGCTCCTCCAGCTGCCTGCCTGCCTTGCTGCTCCTTTTCCTAGCTAGACACGCAGGGAATGTATTTCCTTGGGGGCTTTTACTTCAGTCTTCTGAATCTCCTTGAAGAAAGGTGTCTGGAGATGGTTCTGAGGGCTCTGAGTGATCATCCTGGAATTTCCTGAGCAGCCCGGGTGTCTCTCAGCAGTGCTGTGTCCAAAGCTGGCAGCATTAGAGTCTATCCAAACTGGAAGAGAAGGGGTTAATGAAGTCAAGGATCAGGTCCTTAATCTGTGCCAGGAGTGCAAGAAATGTAGATTTATTTTTTTTTGTCACAGGCTGGAAAGAGCCACAAAGGACAGCATGAGGGTTTTCCCTGTCTCAGGAGCCTTCTCTGAACCCCGCTCCCCTGGCTCTCCTTTCAGCCCGCGCAGTGACCCCGAGCATCAGCTGGTGGCTTTGAAAAATGCTCCCATTCTCCAGGAAATGAAGAGCCCAGGTGCTGGTAAAACTCTTGGCCGTGTTTTTTCCTGACTTGTGTTCCAGTTCCAGGGCCAGGTCTCTGTTTCAGGTTTGTTCCCCCTGGCTGGGTCTCACACAAACCCTGCCTGGCTGCGCTGAGGGTCTGTGGGAATGGATTTACAGGAATTCCCTGGGCTGTGCAGGGTGCATTTCATCCTGGATCCCTCTGAGGAGGGTGGGACTTGTGTGTCTGAGCTGTTCTCAGGCTGGGCCCTGAGGAGCTGGGCAGTTCAGAAGGAATTGTTCTGCCTTCCTTGGCTGGAAGCAGCTCCGTGGTGTTTGGGACCCAGACATTGAAGGGTTCTGGTTACTGCAGTGCTCAGCTGCTTTCAAACCTTTTTTAAGGAGTTCAGTGAAACTGGGCTCACCTTGTTTCAGCTGGGAGCAGTGCCCGAGCTGGGGGTGTGGGCAGGTACAGGAGGAGGTGACACGTCCCCATGCTGTGACAGGGACCAGCAGTGACCTCTGTGGGGCTGGGGACACCGGGGGGCTGCTCTGGGGGCAGGGGCTGCTCCTCCACCCGGGCTCAGGGCAGCTCGGGCTCCCTTGGCTCAGAAATAAACAGAATAAACGGTGCAGGGGCTGGGATGTGGGGCTGGGATGTGGGGCAGTGTTAATGTGGCTGGGATGTGGGGCAGTGTTAATGCCTGGGATGTGGGGCAGTGACAGAGGATGGGATGTGGGGCAGTGATAGGGGCTGGGATGTGGGGCTGGATTGTGGGGCAGTGTTAGAGGATGGGATGTGATGCTGGCTTGTAGGGCAGTGTTAATGCCTGGGATGTGGGGCAGTGACAGGGGCTGGGATGTGGGGCAGTGATAGGGGCTGGGATGTGGGGCTGGATGACACCGCACTGGGATGTGGGGCAGTGTTAATGCGGCTTGTAGGGCAGTGTTAATGCCTGGGATGTGGGGCAGTTTCAGTGGCCCAGGACAAGCCCAGGCTCTCCTCCCTGGCCAGCCCTGAGCTGGGCTTGGAGCATTTCAGGGCAGTGAAACAGAACTTCTGCTGATGTGCTCTTCCCATGGAGTGTCCATCTCTGGTAAAAGTCTCCAGAGGGCAGCAGGCCCGGGGGAGCAGCAGCCCTGTCAAGGCTCTGCCTGTGACACGCAGAGCTGCTCTGGGCTCTCAGCTCCTCATCCTCACTTGAAAGCCCCAAGGCATATGGCCAGGTTCCCAGTTAATGGAGAACTGTGCCTCAGCCCAGCTTCCTACCCAGCTGCAAAGTGAAAACTTCTGGTTGAAGCCATTAAATAAAAATTTAAAAGGTTATATCAGTACATTCTGTCTCACAGTGGAGGTAAATTTATGTAGTTCCAGCTCACCCAGTGCTTTATAAGATGCAGAGTGCAGTCTGTGTGTCAGAAAGCTCTTTTAGTAGTTGGTGGGGTGAATTCCAGTCATTAAAAAAGATTTTCTGTGTCTTTTCACCAAATACCATGTTGCTTTATCTCCCTATGCTGTAAAAAACATCTGAAAGTGAAATTCTGAAAGGAGAATTTTCATTGTGCGCGTTGCTCTATGACAAACCACTTCCTTAGATTTTTGTTCCTGAGCTGTAGACAATGCTGCCTTTGAATTGAGATGTCTTGGGCACTTCCCAGACATTCCTGCTCTCCGGGCAGCTGCAGATTCCTTGGGGCTGGAGCACAGAGACAGCTGCTCCCTGCCCTGCAGAGAGGTGACAGCATCAGGTGCCAGGAATGCCACAGAGGTGCTGAGTGTCCTGCGGAGGTGCCAAAAAAAAGGGAGGTGATGGGGATCTGTAGTAAGAATTATTTGCCTTTTGTCGCTCAGGTTTGAAGCACAAACTCTGAGTGTGAAAACAGGGAGAGACCCGGCAGAAAATGCTCTGCCTGTCCTATTTCTGATTGTTGAGGCAAAGATCCATTTCTCTGGGTTTTAGCTCAGCAATTTATGGTGACCTGATGAGGCTTTTTTTTTTTTTTTTTTTTTTTTTTTTTTTTTTTTTTTTTTTTTTAAGAACTGAAAGAGTTCTAAAAAAAAAAGAAAATCAAGACAGAGAATCAAGATAAATCCAGAACTTGCATCTCAACTGACTTGTGGATTCGGATATTCCTATCTGGCAAGACTTAATTAAGCTGTGCTGTGGAGCCACATCCATCACCCAAAAAAAGGCAGCACTCAGCAGGCAGGGTGTTTGCTGACGTGCTTTGTCTGGATGTCTGTGCTAGGTGGGGCTTGTGCTACAAAAGTGGGGAAAAGGGAAACAGGGAACAAGGAGGAAGCCAAGAATGTGCGAGAGCAGCAACTGGGAATGCAGCCCTGACAAAGCTTTGTCTCCTGGTTTTTTTTTTTTTGGGTTTTTTTTTTTTTTTTGTTTTTTTTTTTTGTTTGTTTGTTTTGGTTTTTTCGTTTTGTTTTTGTTTTGTTTTGTTTTTTGAGGGCTCAGATGGTAGCTGAAGAAAGCCTGCAATAGTGATACAGTTTAAAAAGCTGTTGGTGCCAGGTTGTGTGCGGGGCACGTGCAAGTTGCTGCAGCTTCCTTTTTCTATAAAGAACATGTAGGGGGCATCACGCTCCGAAATAAATTCCTAAAAAAAGTAAAGGCTGCTGGGCTGAAGTTTAACCGAGTGGTAACTAGGGTACGTTGGAAGAAGATCTCGTTTCCAAAGGCAGCAGCTTGTGTATAAACCTGTGGATGGAGAGTGTGCGCTGTCCTGGGGAAGGAGGTGTCCGCAGGAAAGGAGAGACAGCAGCAGCCCCGGGCTTGGATCCTTCCCGCTCCTGCTCGTCGGCCGGGGCGGGAT